ACTTGGCGCACACATCACCAACAAACTGAAATGGTCCACCCACGCAGACAGTGTGGTGAAGAAGGCGCAACAGAGCCTCTTCAACCTCAGGAGGCTGAAGAAATTCGGCTTAGCACCTATAACCCTCACAAACTTTTACAGATGCACAATTGAGAGCATCCTGTCGGGCTGTGTCACCGCCTGGTACGGCAACTGCACCACCCGCAACCGCAGGGCTCTCCAGAGGGTGGTGCGGTCTGCCGAACGCATTACCGGGGGCAAACTACCCGCCCTCCAAGACACATACAGCACCCAATGTCACAGGAAGGCCAAAAAGATAATCAAGGACATCAACCACCCGAGCCACTGCCTGTTCACCCCGCTATCATCCAGAAGGCGAGGTCAGTACAGGTGCATCAAAGCTGGGACCGAGAGAATGAAAAACAGCTTCTATCTCAAGGCCATCAGACTGTTAAATAGCCATCACTAGCACATTAGAGGCTATTGAATCACTGGCCACTTTAAGAAATGGAACACTAGTCACTTTAATCATGTTTACATATCTTGCACTACTCATCTCATATGTATATACTGTATTCTATTCTATAATATTCTACTGTATCTTAGTCCATGCCACTCTGTCATTGTTTGTCCATATATGTATATATTCTGAAATTCCATTCCTTACTAGTTTTGTGTGTTTTAGGTATATGTTGTGAAATTGTTAGATATTACTTGTTAGATATTACTGCACTGTCGGAGCTAGAAGCACAAGCATTTCGCTACACCCGCTATAACATCTGCTAAACACATGTATGTGACAAATAACATTTGATTTGATTTGATTCTATTTGATCCCGGTCGGCTTTGGTTAGGATTGGCCAGCCTATGGGTAATGTAGTATGCATGTATTTTTTTCTGCAGGGAGACAGAAATTGCTAATAATAACAAGCAATAATGATAGTACATAAGTGCATAATTACATTATCAAAAGCTATAACATTAATACATTGCAATATGAATAGAATTACTAAACATATCAATACCAATATGCAAAAAGCATACACGTGATTAAGTTATGCAAATATAGCATCAAGATAACAAAATTAATCTCAAAAGTGGGATGCAATAACATGTGGTGTGGTAGGCCAATGCTAGAGCAGGCTAAAATGGCAGTGGCTATTTAGTGTAGCATATAGCATGTGGGGTATGCATCAAACAGTAGATAAAACATATATAATTAGGAGGCAAACAAGCCAGCAGTATTAACTAAAAAGCAGGCCTTCATTTGCATAAAAGTGCACGAAGGTGCACACAATGAAGTGTCAATTAACTACAGTAAATGTAGCATCAAGAAAACTGATCAATTAATAAAAATGGCTGTTTTAGTTGGACTATTAGCATTAGCGTCCGAAATGCTACACAAAAGAAATGTTCTTATTGAGTGAATTCCATTTCCTTCTTCAATCTGATAACATTTTGTAGTGTTTTCATTGACGCATACCTTCTTTCATCTGACGTTTGGTGTGATCTCATCTGTCTGAGTTCATGAAGGACCCGAATACAGGGAAGAGTTTGCTAGAGGGTACACCTGCCACGAATAGGGCATCCACCTCCATGCCGCAGACTGGGGGGATTATGAACAGTACAGGAGCACAATGTTTGAAGTTCACATTTTGCCTTTAATCTAAACATGTGTCTTCTGATATGAAGGTATGAAAAAATAAAGGTGGAATTTCACAGAATAACATTCTCCCTAGGCCCTATTCAGACTTGAAATAAGTTGATTTAACATGGACATAATAAATAACTTTTTGGATGACCGACCAAATTCAAATAGAATGTGTATTATAGATCTGTCATTCTCATTGAAAGCAAGTCTAAGAAGCGGTAGATCTGTTCTATGTGCACTGTTTATGTGCTTCCCGTTCTTAACTTTAGTTTTTGCTTCTTTTACTTTCGGTTTTGTACACCAGCTTCAAAAAGCTGAAATTACAATATTTTTGGTTATGGAAAAGATATTTCACAACGGTTTAGATGGTACAATGATTCTCTACACTATACTTGCTTGTTTTGTCACATAAACTGAAATTACGCGAACTATTAGAATTTTAGCACCCAGGAAATGGCGGTGGGATTTCTGCTTAGTGCATCTTTAAGTCTACTTATCTCAAATCGAAATGGTGCCCCATGTGATCAGCGTAACAAGGGTGGTCCAGCACAACAGTTTAGTCCTAAAGAATGACTGAGTGGACTGAGGCAGTGTTTTGACAAGCAGGAAACCTGGGTTCACATCCACCTCACATGAATACTAGTGATAATGGCCCACTTTATAAATGTGACCTCTGCCATAACTTACATAGCCCTAAACATTTTGATTGTAACATTATTTATAAATGCTTGGCAACTGTAGCCTATAATTAGCGCCAAAGTCTACCCTAGGAAAAGTATTCAATTCCCAGCACCTTCTTTAAAATGTTCATCAAAATATTGACAGAAAATGTAATCAATATTTATAACCAATCAATATTTATGCTATAAATCATTTGCAATTACAAATAATTGATTTTATGAGAGACACAGTCTGCCAAAATATTATTTTTGTGTTTTGATGCTGCCTTTTACATGCACTGAAACACCAGAAGTTGTTTCCACAACACTCTCTTAAAAAACACAATTATTCAGATTGAAGAGCCACTTTGGGTGTTTCAGAGTACTTCCATTCTGTTTTGAAATACATTCAGTGTATCATAACACTTACATTGGGTTTACATTCAAACACCCTCCAAACACTAGATCTCAGCTAAGGTGCATTACCTTTCATGGTTTTACTACACAATGATAGTGTTTTGTGTCTTTCTATTTTAATAGTTTACCTGGGCAGGCCAGGAGTTGAATAGGGGAGTTGCTGCTGCTAACTTCGTTCTGAACCTTACTGGTCAGGTCTCCTGTCGTATCACTCTTCGGTGTGATGACACTGCTCTGGTAGTGGTCATCATAGGTTACACTCCTGGTCAGTGTCAAATACACTTATGGTATTTTAATACTGTAGATATAATACTGGCAGTTAAGTTTTAATTATCTCCCTCACTAGGATGCATGAGATTTTGTATATCAAAAGGTTCTGTACCTTGTATCTCAAGTTGCAATATCTGGTGAGCTAGTCCCAGACTGTTTGTGTGTGGTGGAGAGTGGAGGGCGGATTTGAAAGTGAAGATTGAACGTTATTGCTGTAGTGCTAGTGGTGCAGTTGCTGGTGTGTGTGTGTGTGTGTGTGTGTGTGTGTGTGTGTGTGTGTGTGTGTCTGTGTGTGTGTGTGTGTGTTTGGCTAGTGAGTGAGCACTGTGAGCGATAGTGTTAGGCTGGTTTTGAGGGTTATTCGTCGACACCCTTATTGGACATTATAGCCTGTTAAACAATTGTTGTTGAGTGATTGTGGAACGCCATTGTCACGCCCTGACTCTGAGGACTTGTATTTGTTGAGTCAGGGTGTGTATTTTCCGTGTTGTGTGTATCTATGTTGATTTCTATGTTTTAGATCTAGTATGTGCAGATCTATGTTGGCCCGGGGTGGTTCCCAATCAGAGGCAGCTGTAGCTCGTTGTCTCTGATTGGGGACCATACTTAGGAAGCCTTTTGGCACCTGTTAGTTGTGGGATCTTGTTCCGTGTGAGGTATGTTTGTGTGCTACCTTGGACTTCACGTTTCGTTTGTTGTTTTTGTCGTGGGTTTATTCGTGTAAATAAACATGTATGCTTATCACGCTGCGCCTTGGTCCTTCTCGTTCGTAAACGATCGTGACAGCCATACTGTCACCAGTTCTCTCTGTCTTGCAGTTCTTATGTGGACGTTTCCGGGTGGAATTGACGCTACTCCCCTACATGCTTAGAAAAAAGGGCTCGAAAAGGGTTCTGCAGCTGTCCCTATAGAAAAACCCTTTTTGGTTCCAGGTAGAATATTTTGGGTTCCATGTAGAACCCTCTGTGGAAGATAGCACCTTTTTTTCAAAGAGTGTAGAAGTCTGAACCAGTGCCACAGCCCATTCCTGGACTGAGTAAACCAACCTGGGCCTACAGATTACAGTGGGGGTGTCATATTTTTCTGTGTTTCTTTGTCCAAATAACTATTTTATAAGAGACAAGTGTCCACAATACAATTAGTAACCTGGTTCTGTGTGAACCAGGTTGCAAGCTCCCACCAAATTGTAAAGTACCTGTGTGCTGCTATTGTATGGAAAGTGTTCCTAACTCTTAGCAAACTTAAGTGGCGTAGTGTTGGCTACACTTATTTCTCTACCGTCTCACATTCTGCTGATTTAAAATGTTACATTTGATTAACTTATAGTAGGTTAGATTTTGTAAACTTTTTTTTAACAACTAAAATATAGTTTTGTCTTAACTTGTATTATCATACGAATATAATCTTGTACCGTTATCACTGCAAAAATATACGTAAGAAAACACAAATGATATGAATAGCTCTAAAAACGTTAAACACTGTAAAAGATGTACAATGTATTTATTTATCTACAGCCCCTCATTAACAATATATTATATAACAATTGTAAATAAGTATTTTAACACAAATAAACGTTGGTACAACAATGTGGTTGCCTCAAAATAAGTAAAGGATTACATTTACAGTATTATGTTGCGGTTCAGTTTACAAGAAATGTTCAGATGCTTTCTCTCAAGCAATGAAGCTCTCCAGCACCCTAGTCGGGATCCATTCAAACATTGAAATACAGGCAAATTGATAGCATGGTTTTAAGGAAACATTTCTAAATACTTAAAAATTGGCATACCATTGTACCATACAATAGAAAAGTTTATACTTATTCATCTTAACAAACTCAAAATGACATGCAGTGCGTCTTTCTGGTTGACGTCTCTTTATGTTCACTAGTTCAATGGTCTGTCTGATCAACTCAACCAGGGCATGCATGCACAGAATGTTCAGTCAACCCTTGTCTTAGTTCTGCTTTATAAAGTTACGTGTGGTTAAAATGTCTACCCTTGAGTCTATGGGCTGCCTGCCACATCCGGGTTCCCAGCCATTTCGATCTGTCCATACTCCACCATCTCTGTGGCAGGGGGCTTCTGCTTCCTTTGCTTGTTTATTGTCACATCAGCGTATACAAGATCCTCAGCCTCGTTAATGCTTTCTGAAAAATGGAAGGAAGAGGAAAGCTGTTGTACAATCTGGACATGTTGTATGTTCTGCACAAAAGTACAACTTTTTTTTTTTTACCTGAAGTATCATATCTGGATCGTAGTTTCTTGCATAGATGGTTCTTACCGACATACAGTGCAAGAAGTAGTGTGAGAGTTCCAACAGTCAAAGCCACAGCCACTGTCACAGCTACAAAAGGAAACTGGGAAGAGACAACTAAAAAGAAAACATCAGTACACGTTTGCATGATTCATGCAAATGAAATGATTTGTACTCTTAATTCAAAAGGTGGGAATGAAGTCAATTGTCCTGACATTACCTGGGCAGGCCGGGAGATCAATTGTACAGTTGCTTCTGCTAACATTATTCTGAACAATGCAGGTCAATTCTGCCATATCACTGCTCTTCAGTGTGACAGCATTGTAGGCTACACTCAGAGTCAGGCCGTTCATGGTCCAGCTGTACTGAAGACCATCTCCTTCTGAGGAGCATGTGACCATGGTCTCTCCATGAGGCAGACAGTAGTGAGACAACACTGGCACTGACACTGGGGCTGACAGACACAAACACAGAGACACTATATAATCTACTGATTCATACAAAATGTATATCTAAAGCATTACAGTATATGTCTTAACAATATCCTCTTCTGTGTAGTATTACTGCTGCCAAGTATGCAGTATAAACCTATTGAAGTACTGACATCCTGGCGACCTTTCAGAAATCCCCCTCACCAGGAAAAGGATGCATTAAGTATTTAGGCCTAACTAAAAAACAAAAAGGTTGTGTACCTTGTATCTGAAGTCGAATGTTGAACCAACGCAACAGTGATCCCCTTGAGTTATATATTTCCATTTGGTAATCTCCAGAGTCATTTTCCAAGACTCTGTCCAGCCTCAATGTTCCATTATTAAAGAACTCAGTGCGATTCACAAACTCCGAGTGCAATTTTGATTTCCAGCCTTTACCAATATTGTATTGCAGAATGAGTTTATCACCTTTCTTCAATCGTGTTTCTTCAATACTACAGTCTACAGCCAGGTGAAAGGACAAAGCTTCTCCCAAAGCCCCATAGCATTGATGAGTTCCATTCCCGTGAGAGACATTACAGGCCGTGGCACCAACTGTGGAGTAATTATTTTAGGTCAGCATGTTGGTGCATGTCTGTTTGCATTAATGTACTGTAAGTCTGAAGGTAAATTTAAGTGGAAAATATTTTTAAAAATCAAAATATAACAATAGCACAATACAAAATATTCATATTTATGTTAAGCAAATATTTTATACACAGTGCCTTCAGAAAGTATTCACACCCCTTGACTTTTTCCACATTTTGTTGAGTTACAGTCTGAATTTGAAATGGATTAAATTTAGATTTTGTGCCTACACACAACACTCCATAACGTCAAGGTGGAATTATGTTTTTAGACATTTTTACAAATTAATTAAAATGAAAAGCTGAAAAGTCTTAAGTCAATAAGTATTCAACCGTCACACCCTGATCTGTTCCACCTGTTTTTGTGCTTGTCTCCACCCTCCACCAGGTGTCTCCTATTTCCCCCATTATCCCCTGTGTATTTATACCTGCGTTTTCTGTTTGTCTGTTGCCAGTTCGTCTTGTCCTGTCAAGTCCTACCAGCGTGTTTCCCGTGTTTCCAGTGCTCTAGTTTTGGTTTTTCCTAGTCTTCCCAGTTCTAACCTTTCTGCCTGTCCTGACCCTGATCCTGCCTGCTGTCCTGTACCTGCCTGACTCTGATTTGGATTACAACTCTTGCCTGCCTTGACTTACCTTTTTGCCTGCCCCTTGTACTGTTACAAACTCTGAGACTCGTACTATCCGCCTCCTGTGTCTGCATCTGGGTCTTAGCCTGAGCCTTGATATTCAACCCTTTTTTTATGGCAAGCGTAAATAAGTTCAGGAGTAAAAATGTGCTTAACAAGTCACATAATAAGTTGCATGGACTCACTCTGTGTGCAATAATAGGCTTTAAGCTTTAACATGATTTTTGAATGACTACCCCATCTCTGTACCCCACACATACAATTATACGTAAGGTCCCTCAGTCAAGAAGTTAATTTCAAACACAGATTCAACCACAAAGACCAGGGAGGTTTTCCAATGCCTCGCAAAGAAGGGCACCAGTTGGTAGATGGGTAAACATTTAAAAAGCAGACATTGAATATCCCTTTGAGTATGGTGAAGTTATTAATTACATTATGGATGGTGTATCAATACACCCAGTCACTACAAAAATACAGGCGTCCTTCCTAACTCACTTGCCGGAGAGGAAGGAAACCACTCAGGGATTTCACCATGAGGCCAATGGTGACTTTAAAACAGTTACGGAGTTTAACGGCTATGATAGGAGAAAGCTGTAGTTACTCCACAATACTAACCTAAATGTCAGAGTGAAAAGAAGGAAGCCTGTACAGAATAAAAATATTCCAAAACATGCATCCTGTTTGCAATAAGGCACTAAAGAAAAACTGCCAAAAAAATGTGGCAATAAATTAACTTTATGTCCTGAATACAAAGTGTTATGTTTGGGGAAAATCTAATACAACACATCATTGAGTACCACTCTTCATATTTTCAAGAATGGTGGTGGCTGCATCATGTTATGGGTATGCTTGTCATCGGCAAGGAGTAGGGAGTTTTTTAGAATAAAAATAAACGGAATAGAGCTAAGCACAGGCCAAATCCTAGAGGAAAACCTGGTTCAGTCTGCTGCTTTCCAACAGACACTGGGAGATAAATTGACCTTTTAGCAGGACAATAACCTTAAACACATGGCCAAATATACACTGGAGTTGCTTACCAAGACGACATTGAATGTTTCTGAGTGTCCTAGTTTTGACTTAAATTGGCTTGAAAATCTATTGCAAGACTTGAAAATGGCTGTCTAGCAATGATCAACAATCAACATGACAGAGATGTTATAATTTTTTAAAGAATAATGTTCAAATATTGTACAATCCAGATGTGCAAAGCTCTTAGCGACTTACCCAGAAAGACTCGCAGCTGTAATCGCTGCCAAAGATGATTGATTCGGGGTGTGAATACTTATGTAAATGACATATTTCTGTATTTATTTTTCAATACATTTGCAAAAATGTCTAATAACATGTTTTCACTTTGTCATTATGGGGTATTGTGTGTAGATGGGTGAGGAATTCAGGCTGTAACATAACAAAATGTGGAATAAGTCAAGGGGTATGAATACTTTCTGAAGGCACACAGTTATTGATGATTTATTTAACAGTGAACCCACTCTTATAGATATGTGCTGCTTTTTCTTTTATATATATTTTTTTATTTGGTAATCATAGAAACTGGATTAGCAGAACATTGGATTAGCAGAACATTTTCAACAATTAGCATAATGTGCTGATTGTTTTGGTTTGTTTGATTGTTATTATGGCTTGGCTAGGCCTTATACTCTGTTCTGTAATATAATGTCTTACCTTGTGTTGCTGCTGTCACTACCAGAACTATAATTATCAGGAGATCCATTTCTCTTTTGCCTGCACGAAATTAAGAGGAGTGAAATTAAGTATAAATCTCAGAGGAGCATTAGCTTCAGAAAGGTGTCATTTGACTTAAACTGATCAACATGTGATGAAACTCTACAAATCAAAGACAGGCTTGTAGACAAGACAACGTGCTTGTTTGTCAGGGCGACAGACAGACTTTGCCCGTGCACATGCATGCTTGATGTGAATAGCAAACCATAAGTAGCCTACTGTGCTTGCTTGCAAACTTTGTATTTTATTCCACTTAACATTGTTAGGCATTTATAACATCTTCTTTAATGCCGATTGTCTAAAACATATTCCAAGGAACACAATCACTGTGCTGCCATATTTATAGACCTATCGAAGGCCTTTGATAATGTCGACCATTCACTACTCATTCGAAGGTTGTCTGAAATGGGCCTCAACCAGGAGTCTTGCAAGTGGTTTGGGAACTATCTGTCAGACAGGACACAGTGTGTGCTTTCTGATGGTTTCAAGTCAAGTTACCTCAATATTTCTAAAGGTGTCCCGCAGGGGTCGATTTTGGGATCTGTCCTCTTTACTATTAATATTAATAATATTGATCTATCTGCAAAAAGTGCTGACCAGGCTATGTTAGACCTGCAATGTGATTTTGTTGCCTTGCAGAAAGCCCTTGTTGATTTAAAATTGGTACTTAATGCGGGACAAACTAAATGTATGTTGTTTTCTAATTCTCATAGAAATATTTCAGATGGTTTACACATTTATGCATTGGATGGTTTTCTCATTGAGCAGGTTCCCTCCTCTAAATATCTGGGCTTTTTGATTGACAAAAATGTGACATTTAAAAAACATACGGATAAGCTAGTTAAGAAGCTGAGATTTAAAGTAGGCTTCTTTTATAGCAATAGATCATGCCTCTCCCTAAACAGCAGGAAGCAGGTTGTACAGGTAGCCTTCCTGCCAGCTCTTGATTATGGTGACACCATTTATCAGAATGCAGAAGCCACTACTCTAAAACCCTTGGATGCAGTGTACCATAGTGTGCTACGCTTAATCACAGGTGACAGGTGTAATACTCATCACTGCATCCTTTATCAGTCGGTCGGCTGGACCTCTCTAAATTCCCGTAGATCACTTAACTTCTCCCTTTTTGTTTACAAAGCTCTGCTGCGCAAGCATCCAACATGTCTCACTTCTCTGTTAAAGTAGAAAAATACGAGGCACCAAACCTGCTCACAGGGTTGGTTAACTCTTGAGGTCCCGTGTGTCTCTACCAACCTAGGTAAATCAGCCTTTAGCGTCAATGCTCCTATGTTTGGAATCATTTACAAACCTCATTACATTTTGAATCCCTTGTGCCAATAGGGCAATTTAGAACGCGGATGATGGATGAATTCACTGAGGTTTGTGTGGAAACTATACATAGAAAATGTTTCAGCTGCCCACAAGGCCTTAAGACATACAGGCAACAATCTGGTCACTGGCTAGTATGAGCGGATGTCAAGCATCACACACTGTTGCTGCATCTTGTAGTTTATTTTTGCTGTTTTATTGCATTATCAATTTGATTTGTGAATTGTTTGTCTCAGGGCACAATTGAGAATGAGACCCTGGTCTCAGTTGGGCTCCCCTGAATAAATACAAGTTACTTAATTTCTAGACAAATGGTCCAGCATCGGCTGCCAAACTTTAGTATAAATGTTTTAATTTCCTTTCATCCTAGCGCAAAATCCATAGCCAAAACCTTAAAAATCTCCTGATACCACTGTGTAATCCCAGATTCTTAATACATGGTCTATATTGTGTTTTTCCCAAGTGCATTGGTTGGTTTTTTAATCCACATTAAATAACTGTTACTGTTTTTTCTTAATAAAGATTGTTTTAATTAGCAATGGTACCTTGGGAAGGTTAATTCTGTATGGGACAGTTTCCTGAACCGAGAGTAATCCTAGTCAAAAGCATTATCAATAAAGAATGTCCATTGAAATAGCTTTTCAGTCCAGGACTAATGTGTCCGGAAAACCGGGAAAGCATTCATATATATATATATTCAACCAAATAATGTCCCATTGTATTCGCAAATTATGATTAATTGCATGCATTTTATAGTAGCCTGGATCCTACATTATCATAGATTTCAGATAGACCAGTCTTTTCCCTCAAGTATCAACTGACATATCCATATAACTCATGCAGTAACTGTAAACTCATTAGAAAGAGAAAATGCATACACATATACTGACCAGAATACCTTACCAAAGTCAAAATGGCAAAAAGTCCTGGAGAAAGTGAGCAAAATGTATGGTACCGTAGAGAATTGTAATGCTCTTTGAATAGCTATCATCTCTTCTACAGTGTGAAAATAAATGTGTGACGCTTGACATCCGCTCATACTAGCCAGTGACCAGATTGTGGCCAAATTTGCTGCCTGTATGTCTAAAGGCCTAATGGGCAGCTGAAACATTTTCTATGTATAGTTTCCACACAAAAAAGAGATCATAAAAGTCCAAATATATAGTTAAACAGATCTTTCCATTTGTAAGGTGTTTATTAAGTTAAGTTAGGTGTCCTCAGGATTATTTTGAGTTAGACAAAACACAAATGAAACAAAACGTTAATGAAACTAGTTTCATGCAAGGTAACAATACATCTTCATGCAAGCCTATGTCAAGCACACAGTTAGATTTAGTGGTATCCTGGTCTTTTGGGGAAAAAAGACTGGGATTCCACAAAAAGACCGGCATACCACATATAAATGATTAGACAGACTTTGTGGATTACAGATGGAATAGCATGCTTTGATTAATATTGTGCTTTGTTGAAAAACACCATTAAAGTTAAAGTTAATAAAATCTGGACTAGTTCTGTGTTAGATGTGCAGTCCTATACACAACAAGGACTCTAATATACACATGTAATAACAAGATGCTCTACTTTATGGCGCTTCATTCAAAAACAACATTAACTTTCATCTGGCTCTCAATAGAGGAAGGAAACCAGATACCGTAGGCCTAAACATGAAAACAGAGTGGGAGGAGCACCAAAGTGTAACTGGAGTGATGGGTCTCATTTTCCATCTCTCAGAAGTGGTTTCATAAAACTCGCCCTGCTCAAAGCGTGGAGCAGTTTGAAAAGAAATGGCATCCTGCTTTGAGAAAATAGGTCACACTCAATCGCCTTAAGGTCAAAGTTTCTAAGAAAGATCAAAGAAAGTAACATTATTCCACAGCAACAGGAAAGTGTCTTGATAATCAAATCAATGAAATTCATAAAAATAATACTATGATTGAAGGCCTATAGATCACATTACTAAAACGCTGATCACTTAAAACACTGTAAAAGATGTGCAATACATTTACATTATAATATGCTTTTATTTACAGCCCCACATTCACAATATATTATATAACAATTGCAAATTACTACTTTGACCCTTTAGAAAATGTATTTTTCTAAACACACACATCAACTTCAGTACATTTCAAACTTGCATGCCTCAAAAGAATGAAAGTGTCACTTATCCAGAATAATAAAAAGCATACTAATATGGCGTGCTCCTATACAGTGCTCCTGTCAATGGTGCGAGGAAAGAAACAACAGCAACATCAGAGCAACAGTGTGATGGAAGTTCTTATGCTGTATTAAAGCGGCAGTAAGCCTGGCCATTATCACAATAAGAATAAACTACTGTATAAAACAAGTATACAATCTGTAGAATCAGTTCTAGAAAAGACACAGAGAATTTGGCTTTTGGGGTTCTTGGAGTATCCAAATATTTTGAGGAAAACGTGTCATATTCAGCAAATTTGTTCACAAATTGCTTTACAGTACAAAGTGTGATATAAATCTATATTGAACTGCCAATAGTATACAACTTTGAAAAAAATTATCAAAATTCAATTCTGGCAGTTTTTCACAGCACTATCAAACATTCTGTGAGGAATTCATTATTAGCACATAGGGAAACAAATACTGTAGCTTATAGAGTTTATATAACTTTCAAAATTGTCCAATTTTTACATTCTTCTGACAGTAAAAAGATAAAATAATTGTAAAATCTCTGAGAGTACATCTGAAATGTCACATTTAACAAATTTGAGGACTAGATACCCAAGCAGAGAGAACCAATGCTCATTTTACACTTGCATGCAATATACTGTGATATTAACACTGGAGAGTAAAGACATAGAAGGAATGGAACACATCAACAAAACAAAGTCACTTAAAATCATCGCCATTTTAAAATCCACACCAAATCTTTATCAGAACACGCTATTCAGTATTTTAAAAAACAATCTAACTTATTGCAGAAAATCCTGGGGTAGTGTTAGTGGTCTTTTGCAAATTGCTTCTTACTTTGGACTGTAGTAGGCAGAATACTGTACTTTACACTGTCCGTTGCAAGTAAGTTAAACTGCTCTAACAAGCAAGAGGGTTTGTATTGATAACACTAAAAGGTATGGGAAGATCTATATACCCACAGTCCTCATTGGAAGAACCTAAAGAAGTGCTTTGATATTACTTCCACATACAGTACTCTACCCATGTTAAATATAGCTGTTTCTGTAGATGTGAAGATGTGTTTGTGTATAGTATTGAAGCACAGAAATTGCAGTTTGTTGCCCTAGTAATATAATCACATGAGGTGAGTGGCTATTCAGACCAGCGGTCCACCATTTAACCATTTAAACCTGTGAGGGGAAAGTATGGTTTCCTCTGTTGTCTACGTTAGATGTGGTCGAGGCACCATGATCATGGGGTGGTGGATTATCAACTGTGGAATACACCATGAGACATTCATAATCTAAAGGAACATTTCACTGTCTGTGAACGCTTGCCCACTACTCATAATCCAATCCATGTCAAGTTAACAAACATATACAGTAGATATTTTGGCTTCAATGATACAGGGTACATCTTTAATGTTTCCATCATAGCTTTCAAGTCTGGGTTCAGAGAATTGCATTGCTGTGGGTAACGGTATGGTGTAAGTGCAACTGCATTGAAAAGGCCAAGTCACGTGTAAAAAAATCTAGGTGGCGATTACGGCAACTGCTTTAGAGATTCAATCCTACTCATATATCCATTTGTACTAATTGTGCCTCTGCCAAGAAATATGACAAGAAAAAAAGAAAGTCAGAGCAGAGACAGAATTACAAGGGCTGAGATGTTCCTGAAACGCACAGCATATATACATACATGAGAGCCTGACATGGTGTGACATTTATGCGATTTGCTTGTGACGAAGTTGAGAGGAGTAAACTGATTTCAAGTAAAGAGATGAGATGCAGTGGGCTCGTGGTTCCTCAGGCCGGTCAGTGGGCGTCCCTCTGTGTCCCCACGCAGCCAGCTGGTTCCCCACCAGTGTCACTCAGAGAGACGTCTCACTCAAACCCTCCCTCTCTGGAGCTCAGCTGGGCACAAGGGGATAGACAGATAAATGAGAGGTTAAACTTACCTCATTCAAAAACAAATAGGAGGGAATAGAATATATGAAAAAGAAACATTGAAAACATATTACAGTAGTCTATGCCTGTCTAGCTAACGTATCTCTGACATTGAGTAATAGTAGGCCTGCATGAAATTGCTACAGCTCCCACCAGATGGCAGGCACTGATCTGAGATGAGTGTCTCCAGTACAGACAGTAGACACTCACCAGACTGACTTACTTGGTGATGGCGGAGGGTGATCCGGAGCGGTGGAAGTGGACTATCTGCCACTTGCCATCGCGGCGGTGCCAGATGCGTGTCTCCTCAGACTGGGCCGTGCGAGGCATGCCGTTGGTGTCGATGTACTGGGTGATGCGGATGTAGGCGATGCAGGCAGCTTCCTCCCCTATCAGGTGGATGTGGGGGTTCAGGATGGTGGTGTGGACAGGCTTGCTGTTCTTAGACCACACTGGGGGAGGAGTAGCAAACACATAAGACAATGGTTAGTCAATGAATAAGTCATTCTATGACTACAGGAATGTTCACAGTGGTTTATGACTTGGTGTGCTATATTCTCTCTCACACTGATGATGTCGCTGTTCCATTATCAATGCTTTATGGAATTTATATTTGAGAGGGTTCATTAATGTCTCTCTCAGCCTGCCACGCTCTCATTATGTTTCTATCCCTTTCTCTCCAGTTCTCTCTTCGTCACGTTCTCTCTTCCTCTTTCTCGCTCTGTCATTTTCCCAATTAGCCAATCAAGCCCATTAGAGCCGTTTCCACTGCCCGAGAGAACAGTGGCTGATATGAGAGGATTAGAGCGGAGCAGGGTTGGTCCATTACTCATCACAAATGAGAAATCAGGGAGCAAATGAACCAAAAGCGTGCTGTCGGCAGCCACGGCTGGCTACAGCCACTGCATCGGCTAATGAGCACTATATTCACTTACAGAAACTGGCCCCAAGGTTCTGTTCTCCACAACTTCCTGTAATCCTGTAATTGCCACCTTGGTAGTTTACTCCTGCAAATGTCTTTATAATTATTTGTTTTAAGTGTTTTTTATGTGCATTGTTTTTTATAAAAAACTTCATAAAGCCTTCATAAATACTACATAAATGTGTCACAAATCACACATTTATGTCATGCTCTATAAAGGGCATAACTGTGTGACATAACCACCTATGTCAAATGTGATATAACCATGTGTTTTATAAAGGGTGACATAAGCAACGCTTTATAAATCATATTAAATAGGCTTCACAAAGCATTTATAACCTTGTCATGCATCTTGGAAGAGCATTGCAACGCCAGGATAGTGGGTTCTATTCCCGGGATCATCCATACGTAAAAATGTATGCATGCGGGCCTGCCGAGTGTCGCAGTGGTCTAGGGTCCCCTGTAGCTCAGTTGATAGAGCATGGCGCTTGCAACGCCAGGGTTGTGGGTTCGTTTCCCACGGAGGGCCAGTATGAACATGTATGCACTCACTAACTGTAAGTCGCTCTGGATAAGAGCGTCTGCTAAATGACTTAAATGTAAATGTAAATGTAAGGCACTGCATCGCAGTGCTAGCTGTGCCACTAGAGATCCTGGTTTGAGTCCAGGCTCTATCGCGACCGGGAGAACCATGGGGCGGCGCACAATTGGCCCAGCGTCATCCAGGGTAAGGGAGGGTTTGGCCGACAGGGAGGTTCTTGTCCCATCGTGCACTAGCGACTCCTGTGGCAGGCTCGGTCGCCAGGTGTACGGTGTTTCCTCCGAAACATTGGTGCGGCTGCCTTCCGGGTTAAGCAGGCACTATGTCAAGAAGCAGTGCGGCTCGGTTGGGTTGTGTTTTTCGGAGGACTCTCTCCCGTGTCCGTACGGGAGGTGCAGCGATGGGACAAGACTAACTATTAATTGGATACCACGAAATTGGGGAGAAAAAGGGGGTAAAATACCAAAAAAATTAAAAATGCATGACTGTAAGTTGCTTTGGATAAAAGCATCTGGTAAATTGTATCTACTATATTATATTACTCCAAAACATTTCTAGGATTGCCCAACCTCTTTCCCTCTTGGGTGCATAGCCGATATTGAATGTGACCTCAACTTCCCCCCAAAATGCTGTGCTGCAGGATGACACACGCTCTAAAGTGCAGTCATGCATAGCAAAAAACATTTGTAGGACCTTTTAAAATCTGTTTTAATTTTTTGCCTAATTCCATTTTGTTTCCCAAATTTTGTTTTCTCAGTTTTGTTTTTCCAGGTTTCGGATTTCCCCCATTTATTTCTGGTTGGCCCAATGTTTTTCACACTTTTTAAGTAGAACAACTAAATTATATTTTCTTTGTTCACAACAGTGAACAGTGCCCGAAATCGGGCACTAGAATTACATAAAATAATAGTTACAGTGCATCCGAAAAGTATTCAGACCCCTTGACCTTTTCCACATTTTATTACGTTACAGCCTTATTCTAAAATTGATTAAATAAATGTTTTGCCTCATCAATCTACACACAATACCCCATAATGACAAAGCAAAAACTGTTTTTTAGAAATGTTTTAAATGTTTTAAAAATAAAGAACAGAAATACCTTATTTACATAAGTATTCAGACCCTTTGCTATGAGACTCGAAGTTGAGCTCAGGTGCATCCTGTTTCCATTGATCATCCTTGAGATGTTTGTACAACTTGATTGGAGTCCATCTGTGGTACATTCAATTGATTGGACATGATTTGGAAAGGCACACACCTGTATATATAAGGTCCCAGAGTTGACAGAGCAAAAACCAAGCCATGAGATCAAAGGAATTGTCCGTAGAGCTCCGAGACAGGATTGTGTCGAGGTACAAAAAATGTCTGTGGCATTGAAGGTCCGTAAGAACACAGTGGCCTCCATCATTCTGAAATGGAAGAAGTTTGGAACCACCAAGACACTTCCTAGAGCTGGCCTCCTGGCCAAAATGAGCAATCGGGGGAGAAGGGTCCAAGATTGAAATCTTGGCCTGAATACCAAGCGTCACGTCTAGAGGAAACCTGGCACCATCCCTAAGGTGAAGCATGGTGGTGGCAGCATCATGCTGTGGGGATATTTTTCAGCGGCAGGGACTGGGAGACTATCGGGGAGGGGGATAAATGGAAGATGGCCTTCAGTATGATGTCTGGGCCCTACGAGTACTTGGTGAAGCCTTATGGATTAGCCAATGCTCTGTCGGTATTCCAAGCGACCGGGAGCTCCTGGCGGTGAAGTTGGCAGTAGAGTGGTGACACTGGCTGGAGGGCGTCACGGACCCATCCTCACAGACCATCAGAACCTGGAATACATACGGAGAGTGAGGCGGCTGAACCCGTGCCAGGCAAGGTGGTCCCTTTTCTTTCTAGATTCAACTTCACCCTGTCATACCGCCTCGGTTCAAAGAACATCAAAGCCGATGCCATGTCCCGTCTCCATGATTCGGGAGAGGTTCCTGTCCTGAGTGCACCCATCATACCGCCCTCCCGGATCTTTGCCCCCATGCTTTGGGACATAGATGTGGACATCCACCAGGCTTTGGAGAGGGAACCCGCGCCTGCTACCTGTCCTACGCACCTACGTTCCCACGGAGGTAAGGGATCGGCTATTGACCTGGGCACACACATCCCTTGCCGCTGGACACCCAGTTATCACCCGCACCACTCAATCCATCTCCATTAAGTACTGATGGCCCACCTTGGCGCAGGACGTCACCCGCTATGTCAACTCCTGCTCCGTATGTGCCCAAACCAAATCTCCCCGGCACGCTCCAGCAGGGAAACTCTTTCCCCTCCCGGTGCCTCAGCGGCTTTGGTCCCATCTGTCCATAGATTTTGTTACTGATCTTCCCATCTGAAGGCTTCACCACTGTTATGGTTGTTGTGGACAGGTTCTCCAAATTCTGCCGTTTTATCCCTCTCTCTGGTTTCCCTACTGCTCTCCAGGTTGCTGAGACACTGTTGCAGCTGGTCTTCCGGCACTATGGTCTTCCGGAGGAGATCGTCTCCAACCGTGGTCCCCAATTCATGTCGCGGGTATGGAGAGCCTTCATGGAGAAGCTGGGGATCATGGTCAGCTTCATATCCGGGTACCGGCCTCAGTCCAACGGGCAGGTGGAGAGGACCAACCAGGAACTGGGGAGGTTCCTGAGGAGTCACTGTCAGGACCAGCAGGGGGAGTGGGCCTGGTTCCTTAACTGGGCGGAGTATGCCCAGAACACACTTCATCACACCTCCACCGGGCTGTCTCCCTTCCAGTGTGTACTGGGGTACCAGCCGGCCCTGGCCCTGTGGACCCCGAGCCAGACCGAAGCCCCTGCGGTGGACGAGTGGTTCCGGCTCGTAGAGATTTGGGATGCTGCCCACGTGAGGCTCCAACGCGCTGTCCACCGCCAGAAGGAGCAGGCGGACCGCCACCACAGTGCTACTACTGCTCCCTCTATCCAGCGCTCGACGTTGCCGGTCTACTAACCACCGGCCCTGGCAACCCATCATTACGCACACCTGGCAACCTTCATTACGCACACCTGTGCCTCATCATTAGGCACACCTGGACTTCATCACTTCCCTGATTACTCCCCCTTTATCTAGCACTCCGTTGATATCACCCATCAGGCAGTATTGTTTCTGTGTTCATGTTCAGACGCTACTCTTATTCTTGTATTCACTCTATGTTCGTTCTTATTAAACTCACTGACTGCACCTGCTTCCTGACTACCTGCGTCTTCGTTACAGTATAGAATACAGAAATCTAGTTTTTTTTTTTATCAACTAGCTAGCTGTTTTGATTTGAAATACCAGCCTAGATCTTCCTAGATCATCTCATCGCCTGGAGCCATGTGTGTAGTTATCTGTACATTGCTTCGGAATGGTTGCTTCAACTGCTGGACTGAGGGTTTTTTTCAATCAGAGGACTTTCAGCTGCATTTCTGCTGCTTTTGATGTGCTTCTCACCTGTGGTAACCATGGAAACTAAAGATGCAACTAGACACTGGTACACACGGGAGAGCCTGCTTCTTCTAAGACATCAATTCTACTCTCCACCAGGACTGAATGGGATGATGGATATAGTCAAGTCACAACAGCAATCCCATGTTTGGATAGGAAAGCCCAGGAAGCGAGGGAGAAGAGGGGGAGTGAGGCAGAGGCTAAGGAGACTCGCTGTGACTAACTCTGGCGGGTGCCAGGTGGAGGGGGTGGTCGCTCCACCATCCGAGGCGGAGGCCCAATGCTGCGTGAAGATGGACAGTGTTGAACCCCTTGTGGGAGAGCGGACAGAGGACCAATCAATTGAGTCAGCAGCCTTCCTTGGTGAAAAGGAGAACTCAGGGGGTGAACTCAACCAATTGCCCCAAACGGATCTTCCTGAGGTAGACTCTTTCAAGCCCCTCGCCTCCAGAGGTTTGCATTGTTTACATCTTAATGTACGTAGTCTACTGCCAAAAATAGATGAGATTCTGGACTGGATAACATCCCAGCTAGATTCAAGAGTGATGCTGCTGATCGTATTGGACCTTACGTAACCCTCAAAATCAAGAGGTGAAACATGCAAGAGTTGTTCCTTTGTGCAAGAAAGGAAGCAAAGTTGAACAAGGGTACTACAGACCAGTGTCAATCTTGAGTGTGTAGTCAAAGGTTTTAAAAAGAGCATTCCATGAACAGATCCTAAAGTCCATTGATGACCATAACATTTTACATGACCTTCAGTCCAGTTATATATTCTACCGACACTTCTTTACTATACTTGACAGATTTTATCAAGCAATAAATTGACAAGGGCAACTTCTTTGTAATGCTGTGAACCATGATATGTTGTTGTACAAACTGAAAGCAATTGGTTTTGGCACCAACTCCTTATGATGGGTGAATCCATACCAAACGGATCGGGTCCAAAGGGTGGATGTGGGCAGGACATTGTCTGATGCTAAGGAGATCAAATGTGGTGTCCCCCCAGGGGACCATTTTGGGGCCTTTGCTTTTTTTGTTCTACATAAATGACATGGACTCCGCCTATCCATGCCCTCTGTTCCTGTATGTTGATGATTCTGCCCTCTTGGTTTCACATAAGAATAAGGAGACCCTAAGCAGCGAACTGACTAAAGTCAGTAAGTGGTTATCTGACAACAAACTGTCTTTGCATTTAGGCAAGACAGAATGTATCCTGTTTGGTTCCAAACACAAAGAGCTAAACTCTTCCAACTTCTCAGTCAAGTGTAATGGTGTAGCGGTGAAGGAAAAATGCTCTGTTACACACTTGGGATGTGAACTGGACCACCACATGATAGGTGAACTCATGGCTCTGAAGGTCATTGGGAAGGTTCACTCCAGGACAAAGTTCCTGGCAAGGGTAGCCAAGTTCTTGCATACAGAGACTATGTGGACCCTGGCAACATCTCTGATACAGTGCCACTTTGACTATGCTTGTATCTCATGGTTCAGTGGCATAACAAAAAATCTGAAAGACAAATTTCAAACGTCCCAAAATAAACGAATGAAAATTATACTCAAGCTCAGCCATAGGACGCACATTTGTCCTAATAATTTCATGGAACTGAACTGGCTTCCAGTTGATCTGGTGGTGCAGATCAAACTGTTGATGTTTTTTAAAGTTATAAATTATCTTGCCCCCAGTTACCTGTCTGGTTATTTTAATTTCATTAGAGACTCTCATAGCCATCACACCAGAGCCAGTGTTGCCTATATCAGACCACTGCGATATAGGAGCATGGCTGGAAAAAGCTATTTCATTAACACTGCTGCAAAGGAATGGAATGGTGTACCAAACCATATAAAATCCATCCCTACGCTAGGGAATTTTAAGATCAACTTTAAGAAATGGTTTATGGGCAAAATGCTTTAAAACTGCACAGGCTTAGAGAAAGTATAATTGTTTCAATGAATGTTACTTGGCAATCAATTTTATATTGATTAGATGTATTTGAGATATTTTGTTTTCATGTTATAATCTTGTGTATATTTTGTTTTCATGTATTTTCATCAAGCATTTTGTGGTTGTATTGTGTTTAAAATGGTAAAATAAAATAAAATAAAAGTCTTAACCACATCTAATGAAATATAAATTGCATTTTGTCACTTATTATGGATACTGTTAGCTAGAGGTTATGGGCACAAAGGGGTTATTAAAGTGCATTCCAAAGATAAATTATACTATAGTGTCACTCTCTCCCTCACTGGGACAATAAATGGGTTGTTACTGCTGTATAGCAATAGTTTTATAGTCCTCCTGTGTACAGCCTTGGGATTTGATTACATATCCTTTCAAATTCAACACAGTTTTCCTATAGCGTGAAACTGTCTGTGTATAATGTAAAATGTATATGTATAATTTCAAAAGATATATGGTAGGAATGAAGGGGAGGCAGGGAGGGAGCAGAGCAGCTTACAGTTCTCAAAGTAGAAGCGATGGAAGTCCAGGCCCTCCACCAGGTTACCCAGAGCCTCTGGCTCAAACGCTGTCACACTGGGGTCACACATCTTCCTACAGGAGGAAGAGACGAGAGAGAGAGAAAGAAAGAGAGAAAGAAAGAGAGAGAGAGAGAGAGAGAGAGAGAGAGAGAGAGAGAGAGAGAGAGAGAGAGAGAGAGAGAGAGAGAGAGAGAGAGAGAGAGAGAGAGAGAGGGGGGGGGGAGAAAGAGGAAAAAAGTGAGACAAAGAAATAGAGAGACAGAAGCAGACAGACAGAGTCAGGGATAGAGACAGTAAGACAACGGGAGAGAAATAGAGCAAGGGTTATCTTCTGTTCTGCTCTTTGAAATGCTTCAGTGAAGCGATGAGACTGACCCTCCAGTCAGAGCTGCTCATGCAGTATTTTGGGGCATGTGACTCACTCGACACAGTGTAAAAAAGTGCAGTGTTTTCCATTTCCATGGCAGATCGCCTCCTGCCCTGGATGGGAATTTTATACCCTCGGTTTTGAACAGGTGCTCTGATGACCCCCTGGCTGCAAGTTGTGACAGACATGCGAGGGACAGGCTGGGGGGTTGTTACTTCACTCAGAATGCCAAGTTTGGAGAAAAACATGCTGCTGAAGAAATCTATATCTGGCACTGCGCAGTGGGCTGGGGGAGAGTCACACTACTCAGGCACTTCAAGATGGGATATTGGGATATTGAATTGATCACTTTTACCATTTACACATTTCTAGAGCTGCATATACTGAAATAAAACGTTATTCATATGGTTCACATGGAATATCTTACCATGCAGCATATGTACATCAAACTATTCATGATCAAGGGATCAGCTTGTTTAGCCTCCAAATGGCCTTGATTGGCAGACAGTTTTTTCCCCTCCTTGATTAGAGGAAAAGACAAATGCACTGGGACTGATGCTCTATCTCTAAATCAGTAAGGACATAGACCTAAGCAGTTTCCCCTCACAACCACCTTAATGCCATCTTAGATTAACGTCTAAACCCTGAGTTATCAATTACACTGTTACAATTGAGCTAATCAGACTCTATCAGTGGAATTGCACTGAAACAGATTGTTACTAACATATGTTTCTATTCCATCTATGTTACTTATCTGCACTCTTAGAAAAAATGGGTTATCTGTAACCTAAAGGGTTTCTTTGACTGTCCCCATAGGATAACTCTTTGAAGAACCCTTTTTGGTTCCAGGTAGAACCTTTTTGGGTTCCAGGTAGAACCCTTTCCACAGAGGGTTCTACATGGAACCCAAAAGGGTTCTATCTGGAACCAAAAAGGGTGCTCCTGTGGGGACTGCTGAAGAACCCTTTTGGAAACCTTTTTTCTAAGAATGTACAGCAAGACTGTGAGTGAACAGCAATGGGAAGGTACAGTATATGGTTTGTTTACTTACGTGTAGCTCTCGAAGTCTCCGTTGCTGATGGCTTCTATAAGCTGCTCTGTCACCTTGATGATCTCCTGTTTCCTCACTGTGAAACACAGACACACAGCTCAGACACACAGCTCAAACGCATGGCACAAACACACAGCTCAAACACACGGCACAAACACACAGCTCAAACACACAGCACTAACGTACAGCTCTGCACTGAAACTACTGACAACAATCACCATGATGAATGGGACTGCAGTAAAATTCATTACTTTCCAATATGCCTGGCACTAGAAGAAATAAATTTGATCCCTCCTTCGTAAAGCCCTGGGATTTGATTATATATCCTCTAAAATTCAACACAGTTTCCCTGTAGCATGAGACAATCTGTGAGGTACCATTTCAAATATACAGTATATAGTAGGAGTAAAGTGTGTGTGTGTGAGTGTGTGTGTGTACATGCATGCATGTGTGTGGCCGTGTGTGTGTCCGTGCCCGTGTGTGTGTCCGTGTGTGTCCACGTGTGTGTCCGTGTGTGTGTGTGTGTGTGCTGCCTGCTGCCTCCCAGTGCTTTGCTGAGTGTGAGGGGGAATGTTCTCTGCCCACACGGAGAGCTGCTTCTGCCGCGAGAGCTTTACTCCCACCAGCTCTGGGTCATAGCTCAGAGTTTGGAAAGCAAGGTCACGCCTTGCATATGGTAAAGAGGGGACGCTAACAGGGGTTACATCCTCACAGTTTGCCCTCCTAACTCACTTTTCCTCTTCAGTAAATACAGAACTGATAGAATTATATTTTGCTCTCTTTCTCTATAGCCTTCCTTCAGCCCCCTAACACCTCCTCCAACCACTGCAGAGAACACTGTTCTATCTCTCGTCTCACCCACTCCGCCCACACAGTTTCTCTCCATCACCCGAATCGCAGCTCTGCCACATGTATCTCCCTCCTCCCTGGAGAAATCACAATGCAATTTTCTGGAACTACTCTTGTGGGAGGAGATAAAGTGTTGAAATGTATACATTTGTTTCCAAAAAAATCAATGAGCTTCTCTAGTCAAAGAGGAGCATTAACTCACAGGCCCTTCTATTCTACACTCTTAATAATAAAGGTGCAAGTTGGAACCAAATAAGGTTCTTGAGAGCGATGCCAGAAGGGAACCATTTTAGGGTCTCTGAAGAATCATAAATGGGATGGTTCTTTGAAGATCCATACAAAAATCTAAAACCAGAAATGTTTCAGCCCTCCAGGACCAGAATTGAATAGCCCTGCTGTACGGCTTTAAGCCTTATTTGCATATCTCCCAGGGTGCCTTTCGAGTTTATCTTAGAGTTACCAGTACCACACATGTCTATGTTTGCTAGCGACAGAGACATGGTGGTTGCATTCACTCATTTTCAGTCCTGTGGCCTTCACCAAGTGAGATCCTAAGTGAATATGTTGTCATTAAAATGTTATTATTTAAGACAATACAATACATATTTCATAAGGCCTTCTTTTGAGGGTCTAGTTTTACCCTAATACAGTGGCCTGAAACTCATAGTTTACAAGCCACATCAGATCTGCAAGTCACAATATGCTGTCTTGCAAAGTGATGTGTAATTCTTATTGGAATCCAGCCAGAGTGGGGATATCTAACATTTAGATTTTTTATTCAACCGCAACCAATTCAGAATGACTGCCATTGTTTGGAAGACTAATATATGAGACTACCTTAAACATCTAAACTGGAACAATCATTTCAGCAATGGGTGCGATAAATCCAAGTAACAGATTGGAATATTTTAGAAAAATGTATGTTATATATATTTGAGTAGCATAAGATTAATTAATCAATCAATGTTCATGCAAAAACATAGATACTAAAACAAACAATTGCAAAAATCTATCTGCAATAGAGCATGCTGGGAAATGAATGTATTGTAATATATGTATGAATGTGTTGTAATGTTTTTAAAATTGTATAACTACCTTAATTTTGCCGGACCCCAGGAAGAGTAGCTGCTGCCTTGGCAGCAGCTAATGGGGATCCATAATAAATACAAATACAAATATGATAATGATGGGCATGGTTTTGGTTAAACTCTGGTCATAGAGAGCAATAGTAATGGCGTATTTTTGTAGGCACTAACTCCGTCATGGCTTGTTGGCCAAAGCCTATGGTAAAAGTCATGGAGTTTTTGTACAGTTTTTGGAGAAACACCGAAAATAAGATCTGTGGTAAACACAGGCTTAGGAGATCTTATACGTTTTGTTCTATGAGATAATCTTCATCAGCTAACGTAACTTTTTGTGAATTTTGAAGCATTTATGTAATAAAAAAAAAGCACATAAATGCTGAATAATTCATAAAGGTCATGTTAACTGACTGATATTATCTCACAGAATATTCAATATCTCCCTATCCCAGTCTGCTGTCCCCACATGCTTCAAGATAGCCACCATTGTTCCTGTACCCAAGAAAGCAAAGGTAACTGAACTAAACGACTATCACCCCGTAGAACTCACCTCTGTCATCATGATGTGCTTTGAGAGTCAAGGATCATATCACCTCTACCTTACCTGCCACCCTATACCCACTTCAATTTGCTTACCGCCCCAATATCTTGGGGTCTGGGAGGGAGAGAGAGAGGGATGAGGTTGGGGAAGGGAGGCTATTATTACCCCTCCAGATTACAAGTAAGTCAATTTCAGCCCCTGGATACCAGATAACTAATTTACCCTGGGAATCAGCTGGATCAGCTAATATAACAAGGAAAACCTGGTCTGGTCTGGTCGGGTGAGGTTGTGTCTTCTCTAGCGGGAGGTAAGCTTGGCTCCTTATATGGTGTCGAGTAAAGCTTAAACCATGTATTTAGATTGTAGGTAGTTATTGTAGTTAGGTATTGTAGGTAGTTTATCTAGGTAGTTATTGTAGGTAATTATTGTAGGTAAGTATTTTTATTCGGCTGAGCCCGGTGAAGTACGAGGCTAGCTAACCCACTACCTGGACCAATAAGCTAGCTAGCTAGCGGGTAGCTACTGGTAACTATTAGCAACTGTGGATAGTTGTTTCCAATGTTATTTCACGCTTAAGAGTACCTGTATTATGCCAGCTAGTTACCTACCATTCAGCTGTTTTTCTAACCTCATTATCTAAAGCATTAACGTTAGGTAGTTAGTAGCTACTATACTCGAAATGTAGCTAGCTTGTTGCTACCTGGATAGCTAACTAAACAATAGCTGGAACGACCTAGCTGTAATATTTGGAGACGCTTTCTCTCCGTCGGGACAGACGCGAACTGGCTGAATCAATTCAGTGGCTAGCTTTGCACTTAACTGGCTAACAGTAGCTACTAAGGGTAAGTTATAACCTACATTTATTTTTGTTTTGTTTTTACATACTGGTAACAAGAGTTGTTCAAGGGAATTCGGGACATGGGTGACTAGTTAACGTTAGCTTGGCTCTCTCTGTGTGTTTCGTGCCGTCGGAGGAGGGGTGGTTCGTTGGCAGAGAGCAATGGCTAGCTAGTATGCTAACTATTCTAGCTAACAAACTGGCTGAATAAGTTGACGATGTACTCACTCAAACTGTCAAAACTATCCCAAAACTTTACACAACGTTAGACACGGACACGAATGATCTGTTTGGCGTGTTAACACACTGGTTTGTTGTAACCGAGTATTGGTGCTAAACCGTGTTATTGGAGGCTGGCATGCTAGTTGGCTATGGCATCATAGAATTCGGTGCCCTGGACGGTTTTCACGGAAGAATACTGTACCAAGTTAGCTAGCTGAATAAACTAAGTTAGAGTCTATTCCTAGAAAACATTGAACCGCTGTAGTTTACAACAATTATAATTTCTAAAGTGGAAGTTGGGAGAGTTATTGTCACGATCGTCGAAAGGAGGAGACCAAAGCGCAGCGTGTTGAGCGAACATCGTAGACTTTATTAATAAGAAACCACGATCAAAAACAACAAACCAAATATGACGAAAGTGAAGTCCAATACTGATATAGACTAACAGCAACAAGGAAACAAAAACCCACAAAACCAAGGTGAAACCACACAGTATAAATATGGCTCCCAATCAGAGATAACGAGCCGACAGCTGACACTCGTTACCTCCGATTGGGAGTCATATGACTAATCAACATAAAACCCAAACATAGAAATGAAACAACTAGATCCCACATAGAAATACACCCAAAAGAAAATGACAACCCTGGCTCACAACTAAGAGTCCCGGAGCCAGAACGTCACAGTACCCCCCGCTAAAGGCGCGGACTGCGACCGCGCCTCACAACCCCACAATAGGGGAGGGCTGGGTGGGTGTTGCTCCCCGGAGGCGGTTCCGGCTCCGGGCTTGACCACCACCCCACTATAGTTACTACCCGCTTTCTTAACCTCTTCCCAATGACCACCCTCCACTTAAACCCACCTGGATTAATGGGCAGCACCGGACTAAGAGGCAGCACCAGGCTAAGGGACAGCACCGGACTAAGGGGCAGCACTGGACTAAGGGGCAGCACTGGACTAAGGGGCAGCACCTGACTAAATGGCGGATCCTGGCTGGCTGGCTCTGGCGGATCCTGGCTGGACGGCTCTGGCGGATCCTGGCTGGACGGCTCTGGCGGATCCTGGCTGGACGGCTCATGGCTGGCTGACGGATCTGGCTGCTCATGGCTGGCTGACGGATCTGGCTGCTCATGGCTGGCTGACGGATCTGGCCACTCATGGCTGGCGGAAGGCTCTGGCTGATCCCGTCTGGCGGAAGGCTCTGGCTGCTCCTGTCTGGCGGAAGGCTCTGGCTGATCCGGTCTGACGGAAGGCTCTGGCTGCTCCTGTCTGGCGGAAGGCTCTGGCTGATCCTGTCTGGCGGAAGGCTCTGGCTGATCCTGTCTGGCGGAAGGCTCTGGCTGATCCTGTCTGGCGGAAGGCTCTGGCTGATCCTGTCTGGCGGAAGGCTCTGGCTGATCCTGTCTGGCGGAGAGCTCTAGCGGCTCCGGTCTGGCGGACGGCTCTGAAGGCTCATGGCAGACGGGCGGCTTTGCAGGCTCAGTACAGACGGGCAGTTCAGACGGCGTTGGGCAGACGGACAGTTCAGACGGCGTTGGGCAGACGGGCAGTTCAGACGCCGTTGGGCAGACGGGCAGTTCAGACGGCGTTGGGCAGACGGGCAGTTCAGACGGCGTTGGGCAGACGGGCAGTTCAGGCGCCGTTGGGCAGACGGGCAGTTCAGGCGCCGTTGGGCAGACGGGCAGTTCAGACGCCGTTGGGCAGACGGGCAGTTCAGACGGCGTTGGGCAGACGGGCAGTTAAGGCGCCGTTGGGCAGACGGGCAGTTCAGACGGCGTTGGGCAGACGGACAGTTCAGGCCCCGTTGGGCAGACGGCAGCTGGGGAGGGCATCGTAGGCCTGGTGCGTTGGTGCCGGAACTGGAGGTACCGGGCTGAGGACACGCATCTCAGGGCTAGTGCGGGGAGAGAAGCAACAGGGCATGCTTGGCCCTGGGGACGCACCGTAGGCCTGATGCGTGGTGCCGGAACAGGCCGGGCCGGGCTGGCGAAGCGCACCGTATCCCTGGTGCGTGGAGTAGGAACAGGCCGGGCTGGGCTGGCGACGCGCACCGTATCCCTGGTGCGAGTGGCCGGAACAGGCCGGGCCGGGCTGGCGAAGCGCACCGTATCCCTGGTGCGTGGAGTAGGAACAGGCCGGGCTGAGCTGGCGACGCGCACCGTATCCCTGGTGCGAGTGGGCCGGAAACAGGCCGGGCCGGGCTGGCGAAGCGCACCCTATCCCTGGTGCGTGGAGCAGGAACAGGCCGGGCTGGGCTGGCGACGCGCACCGCATCCCTGGTGCGAGTGGCCGGAACAGGCCGGGTCGGGCTGGCGTAGCACACCGTGGACCTGGTGCTTGGAGTAGGAACAGGC